TCATCTCCACGTCCTCCTCCTCACACCTGCTCGGTGGGTTGGGGGCTGTCAGGGGTGCCCCTGGGCCTGGCTGGTGCTGAGGGCACCCCCACCCAGCCCTCCCGTCCCGGCCGCACCGGATGCGCAGGATCTGCTTTGTGTCCTTCTCGCTGTAGGGGGCGGTGGAGACGATCAGCAAGCGGTCCAGGAGGTCGATGGGGATGCCATGCGGGCTCTGGTAGCTGGTGCCTCGGATGCTGGGGGAGGGGAGAGGGTGCTGTCAGGGGAACTCTGGAAACGAATAGAGAGAGGCCTGCTCTCCTGGCCCTGCATCCTCCAACCACTGCCCCTCTCCCTGCACCGGCACCCACAGCGCCTGCTGGTGCACAGGCAAGCTGCCGTCACCTAGCTCCCATGGTGCAGGATTACCGCTTCAAGGTCCCAGGCAGCCTGACGCCAGCTCGATGGGAGTGGGGGCACACTGTGGGGCTCAGGAGTGGCAGTGGCCTCTTCTCCGTGACTCCTGGAGTAGTCCCCGTGCCCTCACTCTTGGCCACTGACCGGGATGTGCCCAGTCTGGCCTTTCTCTCAAGCCCAGAGCAAGGGAAAATCAAACGCTGCCCTGCCACCTCCATCACTCGGCCCAGGGCCACTGCTCCTGTGAGGCCAACTCACTGCAAATCAAGTCTCACCCACAGGGAGCCTCGAGGCCGCAGGGCGACTGCCCCACGGGCTTCCTTTCAAGGGTGCAAATTTCACCTTTCTCCCAAGGAGACTGGTTGGCAGGTTTGAGCCACCAACCTGGATTTTGGTCAGCAACTGAGTTCCTAACCAGGGGTCCCCTAGGGCTTCTCCTTCCACTGTGGCATGTGAATGTGCACGCCAACCAGGCCCAGGGTCCTCGCTCCCTTCTTAACCCACAGCGACCATGGAGGACAGAGCGGGGGCCCACCCTGTGGGCATCCCGTGATGGGCTGTCCATTCAGCCACGGACAGCTGCTGGGCATGAACAGCACATAGTTTTTACCTCCACGCCACCAGGCAGCCCTCCCCCTGGGCTCCAAGGGCTTGGTGTCCTTCTGTCAGTCCCCCTACCCCCACCTCTCGCTGCCTAAGTCCTTTGTAGATGGATCCCTGGAGCTAGTCCCAGAAATGTACGCAGCAGGCAGACTGGCCAACCGGGGGCGGGTGCCCCAGTAATGACTCCGGGTGGGGTGGTGGTGTCGGGGTAAAGGGGTGCAGTGCTGGAGTCCACCACCCTCAGACCAGACTGCCCCAGCAGGTAGCCAGGCTTGCTGTGTGACACCTTGGGGCCCCAGGCCTCCGCCACCTCTCTCCAGCTGAAAGGTGGCCGTAAAGCGATTAACAGCCAACTTTAGGTTCCTAGCATCCTAGGGCCTTCTGGTCAGCAAATGGCCACGGTCAGCAGATGGCATGGGAGGGGCGGGCTGTTGTCAACCTGGCATGGCCCCGTGGCACCCTGGGAGGAGCAGCCGCACCAAGGTAGCTTGGCACCACTGCTTCCAGGGCTATGGCTCAGGGCTCTTTAGGGACAAGGCCACCACGTGGACCGAGCGGCTGGAGGGACAGGCTCACCGGGTGATGCCACGGTTGGTGGCCATGATGAGGACGGGCGCCATGTCGCTCTCCAGCGCTCGGTTGAGGAAGGAGAAGCTCTCGATGTCCAGCATGTGCACCTCGTCGATGAACAGCACCTGGGGCGGCGAGGGGGCTCAGAGTCCGCCCTAGGCCGCTCCCAGTTCCCGCCCCACCGTGGCCCCTGCCTCTCACCCCGGGAATGATCTCCGCCTTGCCCTCCTCACGCCACTCGGCCACTTTGGCGTTGATCTGTTCACGCACTTCAGACTTGATCTCTCCCGTGTCGCCTATGGGAGGTGGGGAGCAGGCATCAGGGAGGTGGGAGGAACAGAGCGGGCAAAGGCAGAGGGAGGGGGGCACTGGGGTCTGAAAGATGACAGGGTTAGAGGGGCAAGTCGGCGGGGTCTAGAGTGTCCCTATCTAAGGACAGCGAGGAGCGCAGAGGCACGCGGGATGACCCATGGAACCACCACAGGCTCTGCCCATCCCCCGGGAAAGTCAGGGCTGATTCCTAGAGGGTGGAAGTGCCCCCTGCTGGTTTCCGAGACTGCCACTCTATGAAAACAGAAAGCCTGGTCTTCCTCCCACACGGCGGCTGGTGGCTTGGAACTGCTGACTTGCGGTCAATAGCCCAACGTGGAACCCACTCCGCCATCGGGGCACCTCAAACTCCCACAGGAGGAGGGGTGCGGGGCTCACCAGAGAAGAGCGCCAGGAAGCCCTGTGTGCGTGAGTTGATGACGTCGATCTCGTGCAGGGACACAGTGTGCACCACCTCCTTGCGCTTCTGAAGCTCGCCGTCCGGGCACTGTACGAACTTGGTCTGGGGGCCGGGGAAAGACTGGGCTCAGCAGGGCCTCAAAGGGGGAACCCCTAGGGGGCTCCCCAGAGTGGAGGCCGTGTGACGGGGTCACCTAGAACCCCTCCCCTGCCCTTCTCCACTCAAGGTTGGTCAAGATGGCACAAGGGCCTGGGGCTCCTGGGGGTGCTAGGATGGGGTTGCTCACAGTGCCGGGTTGAACGGCTTCCCACTGGGAAGACTCTAAATTACTGGGGGCTTCCGCCAGGGACCAAGCACCCCTCCCCCACACACCTGGGAGCCCATGGCGTCATAGTCTCGCGCCCGGGTGAAGGAGCGGCCCAGCTTGGAGATCTTGCCTGTGGCCTTGTCAATAGTGATCACGTCCCTGCGGGAGGAGAGGGGAAGGGCGGGGCGTGAGCAAAGCCAGGGCCCCTAGCTGCCTCACCACCCCTCCCTCCCCGCAGCAGTCAACCTCTGCTCACCCGGCCTGGACCTTGTCCTTGGTCAGGGACTCGATCATCTTGGTGCCCAGGTCATAGATGGTCTCCATCTCTGTGGTCTTGAGCGTCAGCTTGCCCACTTTGGAGCCCTGAGGAGGAGTGTGAGCTAAGAAAGCACACTCGCCCCCAGCCCCCCAATGCTGCTGGACCCACCCCACCCCCGGCAGACAGAGCCCATACAGTTGCAGAGTGGGCTCAGGCCCAGGATCCCTTGGGGGCTGATGGTGACGGTTGCGAAGCTAAGCCTATGGCGGCCACGGCTTCCTGGGTGTGCGTGGGCCGACCACGGCTCCCTGGGTGTGCGTGGGCCGACCACGCCACCCACTTTCAGTGCCTGCTGCTGGTTGTGTGTCAGTTCCAACCCCACTGCTGTGGACTCACAGAGACGCTGCAGGGCAGAGTACAACTGCAGAGTGCACGGGTTTCCCAGGGCATGGCCTGCCACGTCCTTCTTCTGCCGAGCAGCTGGTGGTTCAAACCACCTGGATTCACCAGCCCAGTCACTGAACCCCTTGGCCATTACAACTCCATGAGACCACAAAACCACGAAGTCCATTACCAGCCAGTCAGTTCTGACTCACAGAACTGGCCCCTGGGGCGTCTGAGGCTGTAAGCCTTCAGCCAAGCAAACAGCCATGTCTTTCTCCTTTTGACTGGCTGGCGGCCTCCACTCGCTGACCTTTCTGGTTAGCAGTTGAGTGCTTAACCCTTGTGCCACCGAGGCTCTGATCAAACCCACAGGAGAATTAAGAAGCTGTCCCGCCTAGGCAGGAGCCCTGGTGACAGTGGTTACGTGTTGGGCGGCTCCCTCTAAGGTCAGCAGTTCGAAACCACCAGTTTGTTCTGCTGGAGCGAAACGGGGACTTCGGCTCCCCTAGAGTTTCAGTCTCAGAAACCCACAGGAGTAGGCCCAGGCCCACCCTGTCCTAGGGGGTTGCTCCCGAGTTGGATTTGACTGGGTGGCAATGAGCTGGCATTTGGAGTACCCAAGCCTTCTCCCTGATGGGGGCACCCCCAGGCTTGGATGTTCATTGGCCAAACTCCCCGGGTGCAGTGTCAGCTGGGCCCCGACTCACCGTGCCCGTGGCTGGCCGGTCGATCTGGATCTCCACCACCTCCCCTTCGATGATCTCGGTCTCCTCCCTGGGCAGACGGCAGAGGTCAGGCAGTGGCCCGACCTGGGACTGCTGCTTCCATGCCTCCTCCCCCTGCCGCGCCCGCCCCCCACCCCCGCGCCCCCCAGCTCACTTGATGCGCACGCCGATGGACCTCCGGAAGGCCTGTGTCAGAGCCTCGGTCCTGCTCATCTCCAAGGAGAAGATCTCGCTGCCCGCAATGGCCGTGAAGGGGGTGTCAGGGCCCAGTGCCTGGGCCATACCTGGGGGCAAGGGGCCTGGGTAAGTGGGGGGAGCCTGGTACCAGATGCTGCTCCCCACCTTCTCCAACAAGAAGGGGTTGTGGCAGGGGGCCCAGACTAGACAGCCCCCTACAGTCTGACGGAGACAGACTCCCAAAGCCTAAAAGCTGGTTAACCTCAGGCTGAGGAGTGGGTGGGGGTGGGGTGAGTGGGGCAGGGAGCAGCCATGAAGACCCATGACTCAATCAAGTCCCAGGTCCCTGGCTTTCGGCCGTGTGATCTTGGGCAAGTCTCATTTGCTGCCTGTGCCTCAGCTTCCCTTGATAAAACACAGGCTGATGGCAGAACGAGTTTAGTCGACAATGTCTACCTGTAAAACCACCTGCTCTTTTAAGATCGACCTCAACGGGCCGAGATGGACACTGTCCCAGCCCAGGTGTAGGTAGGACTGAAGCCTTTGACTTGGTGTAGTAAGAGACAAGGATCAAGCAAAGTGCTAACTCGGTGGAGATGCCTGGGTAGGGTTTTGAAGGATGCATAGGAGTTTGAGGAGGGGGTGAAGGAGCAGGATCACTGGTGGACTGTTTCACAGGCTGTTAGCTGTCACCACACCTACTACCTACCTTCCCCTGCTTTCTTAGTTCTGGAGCCCTCTGTTTAATAAGGCAACAATAGCCCAAATTAAAAACAAAACAAAAACCAACAAATTTATATACAATGTCCCAGCTCCCCTTGCAAGTCGGGCCACATGATTAAGTTCTGGTCCAAGAAATACAAGCAAAACCATGTGAGATGCACAAGAAAGCAGCTTAGAGTGTGCTGTCTCTAAGACATACACCCTCACTGTAATTGCCTTCCTTCTTCAGGCTGCCTGGAGTCTGGGTGGGAAGGACTGGAGTTTCCGCAGCCCTCTCGGGCCATGAGGTTAGGCTGATGTGGAAGCCAGTGCAGAGGTAGAGGCATGAAGGTACCAGGTGTCAGAGGACGGATCAGCATGCCCTCAGAGACCGAATTCAGATGCTTCGACTTGAGAATGGACCCTCTTTGTGTGTATATCAGTGCCCTTTGGGACTCTCTGTCAACTGCAGCTGACCTTGACCCTGCCCGGGGCTGAAACCAGGAGAGTCCGGCCCATGCAGTCCCTTACCCATGGCGATGGCTGTCTTCCCTGTGCCAGGCTGCCCAGCGATGAGGACCGCCCGGCCAGCAATCTTCCCTTCTCGGATCATCTCCAGCACCACGCCCGCTGCCCGCCGGGCTGCCAGCTGGCCCACCATGCCCTGGGAGGCCTGTGGGAGGACAGGCGTGCGAGGAATGGTACTGATGTCAGGCTGGGGTAAGAGCTGCCTTCCCGCGGCTCCACCCTGGCCGCTCCTGAGATGAAAGAGGGCCCCTTGGTGGGGCCATCTAGCAAAAGCCACAGTACAGGCAGACAGCAGACCTACACCACCTCCCCATCTCATCTCCTCCACCCTGACTTTTTAACATCACAGTGGCACGGTGGGTGGCTACCCACATGCTTGGCACTCCGTGAGAGAAAGATGAGATTCTCCGCTCCCCTCCAGGCTTAGTGCCTAGGAAAAGCCAACAGGCAGTTCTGCTCTACCCAGAGGGTCACGGGAGACCGAAATGACTCCAGAGGTTTGCTGCGTTTGGTTTTGGCCGTTGCCCCTGTGGCTGAATTTTATGATCAGGTGGCTCCAAGCCTGGAAAGTCACAACAACCCTCCCCCCACCACGCCCATTTCCTTAGGACCCCCAGTCAGAGGACCCCCACGAAGGTGGCTTCAAGCCCCATCCCCTCTTGCTCTACCTGCCGGGGCTCCAAGGCGTCGTCCAGCCCCAGCCCCCGGATGTGGGAGTGAGCACCTGGAGAGGGAAACGGGACACGGTGACCACCAGCTGGGGACGGGGCGGGAGTGGGTGGGGAAGGAGAAGCAGACTCCCACCTCCGAGGCTGTAGGCAGGAAGGCTGACCGCAGTAAACACTCGGTAAAAGGGAGCAGCTCGCAGGAGAATGTTCTAACTCAGTGCTTCTCAACCTGGGGGTCGAACGCCCCTTTCACAGGGGTGACCCGATTCATCACAGCAGCAAAATGACAGTGATGAAGTAGCAACAAAAATAATGTTATGGTTTTTTTTTTTGGGGGGTGGGGGGTTGGTCACCACTACATGAGGAACTGTATGAAAGGGTCCAGGCATGAGGAAGGTTGAGAACCACTGCACTATACTGTAATATGGATGGGGTTGGGGGACAGGGGCTCAGTGAGGTCAGGTCCTTTGCTTGAGGCCACCAAGCCAGGAAGGGAAGCAGTAAGACAACTTTGTCCCAGACAAGCAGTCCATCAAATCAAATAACCAAATCACTGCCACCCAGGTAATTCCAACTCACAGCGACCCCAGAGGACAAGACAGAACTCCCTCTGTGGGTGTCCGAGGCTATAAACCTTTACAGGGGCAGAAAGCCTCATCTTTCTCCCCGGGAACGGCTGGTCGGTCTCTTAACTTTGGACCTTGTGGTTAGTGCCATGCCCCCAGGGCCCGTCTCAGTCCAGGGCTTTGCCAACCACAGCACCAGGGCCAGCCACTTGTGCTAGTGAACGAGGTTACAGGGCACAGGGCTGCATCCCGACATACCGTCTATGGCTACTAGTGCACAACTACAAAGGACCGCTGGTGGCTCCACAGTTAAGTACTTGGCCGCCAACTGAAAGGATCTGTTTGATGCTGTCACATGGGGGTGCTCTGGTGTTGGATTTGACTCCTAGGCTCCCAGGCAATAAAGTGGGGACTGGGGGGGTCTGGTGGAGCAAGGGTTAAGTGCTTAACTGCTAACTGAAAGGTCAGGGTCTCAGCTGCTCCTCAGGACAAAGGACCTGCTGATTCCATCCAACAAACGAAGACAAGCAGGAAAGCCCAAGGGGCCAGTTCTGCTGCGTTGCTGGGGGGGGGGTTACTCGGACAAGGGCACTGGCTGGCCACCTGGCAGTGACCAGATCACAGAGAGGATGGGCTCTGGTCATTTCAGAAAGCCCCATCGACTTGAGCTGGCCAGTGAGTGTCAAGGGCCCGACTGCAGGACGCATGCACCCTGCCCTGAGCTCCGCAAACTGTGGGTGTGATGAATCCAGGGGGTGCTTCCAGGACACCCACACCCAGTCCCTGGCTGGCCTTTCTTACAGCCAAAGGATGAATGAATGGGGCAGGTGCACCAACTCAGGATAGATGAATTAAGGAGCCTAGTGAAGGCCAAGTCCCTTCTGAAGGCTGCCCCCTGCTGGCCCTGCACAGCCACAGCCAAGACTTCCCAGGCTCAGTCCCCTCCTCTGAAAGGGAGAACAGTTGTGGGCAGCCTGTGGCACACTTTCCCCGACTAACGCTGGTGGGGTCGTGGGGTCGGTGGTTAGTTAGCGCGTTTCAGCTGGGACTCAGCCAGACCCCTCTCCCACACCCACAAGGGCCCAAGGGTGGTCCATGCCGGACACTGGCATGTCCAGCAGCAGTGAGGCCTGGGGTGGGGGCCCTATGAGCACCTCCATTTCATGGGGTACAGGGGTCAGGCCGCCCCCCTGGCAGAGGTCCTGGAGAATATGTGCTCAGTCGACAGAGACATCTGAGCCGGCCAGGCTCACTCACCAATGCGCTCAATCCTGGTCACATCTCGGATCTCTGGGACCTTGGTTGTGGCCGCCTGAAAGGAAGGGCAGGAAGACTGGTCGGAGAAGCCCCTGAGAAAGTCTTTGTCCTCTGTCCACCCCATCTCCCCCCTTCCTGGGCAGGCCAGCCACTCTTCCCCTCCCCACCGTCTCCCACTAGTGCGGAGTTGTCAGCCCCTCCCACCAGGGAATCCCCAGAAGAGGAGTGTGGAGTTTCTCACTTGCCCCACCCCATCCCACAGGCCCGAACTACATCCCGATCTTGGGAGCCCACAGGGGCAATTCTACCCTGCCCTATCGGGTCACAGTGAGCTGGAATCAACTCGATGGCTCAAAAAGCAAAAAAAAAAAAAAAACCCGAAGCCTTCACTGCCATCTACCCACAGCAACCCTATGGGACAGGGCAGAAATGCACCCGTGAGGCTCTGAAACCTTAACGCTTTACGGGAGTAGTCTCATCTCTCTTCTGCCAAGCGGCTGGTGGTTTCGAATCACTGACCCTGTGGATAGCAGCCCAACCCTTACCGGCTAGGCCATGCGGGCTGTGAGGGGCTGTTTTGGTTTGTTTTTAATCAAACGGGCATCATCTACACAAAGTCAGGGGTTAAGGGAGGAGGAGGAGGAGGAATGGACACAGGAGGAAGTGGGCTGTGTAACGGTACAGGTTTTTTCCAGCAAGTTGAAAGAAAATGTATGAATTGGCGAGGGTAAAACCGATGTAAACCTTCGCCTCACACACGCCTCCCCGCCCCCCAAGTTTCCTATGATGCTCTCCAGTCTCGGGGTGCCCATTCTCTCGTTCAGCTCAGGGCTCACTAAGCGACTTGCACACAGGAAAGGTCCCCAGCTCCTGCGTCTCCCTTAGAATCGCAACGTTCTCTGAAGGTTTGGAAGCCCTGGACACCGCCACGCTCAGCAACCTTTGGGGCAGGCGACTGCTACACAGGCTGCTGATGCTTCCAAAGGGGTTCTGGGAGTTGGAGTTCCCCCAGCAATGACGCGATCAAATCTGACCAATGAGGCCACGAATGCCCACTTCAACCCAGGATCGCGGGGTCCCAGCCCCCAGTCCCCTCCTCCCTCAGACCCAGGGTCCAGGCCTCCAGCACTTCCCTTAGACCCAGGAGTCCTGGCCCCCCGCCCTTCTTTCCTTGCGTCCAGGAGCCTTTGCCCTCGGCCTTTCTTCCCTTGAACCCGGGGGTTCAGACCCCCAGCCCCCTCCTCCCTCAGACCCAGCGGTCCAGAAGCCGAGCGCGAACACTCACGGTTGCCATGATGCTCACTAACCGCCCAAGTCCCGGCGGAAACGGAAACGCGCTACGAACGCGGCGCTGTGGCCCCTCTAGGCTTTCCGGTCCTCCAGAGGTCTCGGTAGTGTCTCATAAATATGCAAACACCCCTTGGAGGGGGCGTGGAATCACGCTTCTGCCCCGCCCACCCACTGAGGCTGAGCTCGGGGGCGGGTGTCTGGAACTTGTGGGTCCGTCCCCAATGCCTCCTGGCTCCTCCTCTGGAGACCCAGCCCACCTCTGGGCCGACTGCGAGATCCTCAGCACCACTAAGAGCCTCCACACGTCTCCCACGCTCCGGCTCCTCCCTTCCCATCCTCCTTTCTTCACCCCGCCCCCTCCGCCTCTTCCGCCCCACTTTGGGGCATCCAACTTCAGACAGACAGACCTGACGGCCAATCGATCCCGTGAGCCGCAGCAATAAGCACCGCCCCCCGCGATGATGTCACGGTTAAGACCGTGGAGGCCTTGAGCGAGCCAGACCGGGACCACCAATCAGAAGACGCGGGAGCCCCGCCCCCGGACACGGGCCAATAGCGTGACCGGGGGGCGGGCACCGCCTCCTGGCGGCCGCCAGGGTCCATTGCAGCGGAGCCAGTTTGCTCAGTGACGCTGCGGCCGCCGCCAGCCTCGGTTTAAGCGTTGCGGCGCGAGGGGGTGCGGTCATGCAATAGGAAGCCAGAAGTATTGCAAGCTTCCGTGGGACACCAGTTACCGGGTCCCTGCGTCCTGCTCGGTTCATTTCTCGGACACCTCCGGGGCCCCCACCTGTGGCCCCCGGAGTCCCCTTCTCACGCGAGCTATGCCACTCAGCCGCAGTTTGTCCATGTCCTCCCTGCCGGGACTGGAGGACTGGGAGGATGAGTTTGACCTGGAGAACACGGTGCTCTTCGAAGTGGCCTGGGAGGTGGCCAACAAGGGTGAGCGCACCAGGCTCCCAAGAAAGTGGGGGGAGGGGGGGCTTTCCACGGGAAGAGCAGCCACGAATGGGGGCCGGAGTTAGGGGTGACGTGACTCCCGGGTGCTGGGCAAGAAGCCTTTGACTCCTGTGCCCTTGGGGAAAGGCTGAGGTATTCCTCCTGGGCCTTGGGAGGAGGGTTGGTTCGCTTGATTGTTAAGATGCAGAGGGGCTGTGGCGAGATGCTTGATTGTTAGATTCCAAGAGGCTGCGGGGCCAAGCCCGGGGTTTAATCCTGCTCAAATACTAGGTTTCGAAAGGGTAGGGTCTGAGAGACCTGAACGGGGAGGGGGAGTCGGGTGGGAAAGGGACTTGTGAGTTCCCATCTTGAAAGTGGGGGGGGGGTTCAGACCCCCTGAGTGCCAGAGGGGGAGGGACTGAGCTGTGTAACCGGGAAAGGTGCCTGGACTTTGGCGGACGCATCTGGGGAACTGGCCGCTTGAGAATCGTGTCGCCAAGTTCTCAAGTCCAAGGGTGGGGACATGGGGTCCAGTGCAGAGGGTTCTTGGGAGTAGAGAGGCCTGGGGCCTGGGCACATGCGTACTGCCACAGGGGACGGTTGGGGAAGTCCTAAGTTGGGCAGGGGCTGGGCCCTGGGATGGGAGTGGCTGGGGGCTTGGATTTCTCCCTCCCAGCTTCTGGGTGTGAAGAAAGCTGGGGCTGGAGTCAGGAGCTGGGCGGACAGGCTCTTCCAAAGTGAGGAGGGGGCTGGGGGCCTATCTTTCCTAGGTCTTGAGAAATGGAGGGGTCTCCCACCATGGGAGGGGTCCAGGGAACATGGAGTCCGAGACTGCCAGGTCTCTGGGTCTGGGATGAAGTCAGGGCCAAGGGCCAGGCCCTAGGTGCCTGGGTCCCCAGTGGGGGAAAGGAGACTGGGAGACAAGTCACACAAGCTCCCTAGGGGTGGGGTGTGACAATTCAGGCTTCTCTTGGACAACCTTGAGGATCTGAGTGGAGCCCAGAAGAGGGACTCGCCCTGGTGCGTCCTGAGAATTCAAACCCAATTTCTGAAATGGGAGCTCCAAGAAACCCACTCCTGGGGGCCTTCGGCTTCTAGCATCTTTGGACCCCTGATGTCCTAACGCCTGGAGATGGAAGAGGCTAGACCCTCATCCCCGTCCTCCCTCGGACCCAAGAGCCCAGGCTCCCAGCCCCATCCTCCCTCACACCTGGTAGTTCAGGCCTCCCCTCTCAGTCCCAGAAGCCCTCTCAAAGCCAGAAACCTCCTCCTTCCTCTGCCTCAGTAGCCAGCCCCTTCTTTTCAGAATTGGAAGTTCCTTTGGGTCTCCAACCCCCTCTCCAGATCCCTAAGCCCCTTCTTCCATAACACCCAGGAGTCAGAGCCCCCGGGCTCCTCCTTCCTCTGACCCAGGAATCTGGCCTCCCAGTCCGTTCTTCCCTACCCCTGGGCTCCAGGTCCCCCCACCCCCACTCCACCCCCCACCCCCATGTCCTCACACCCCACTCAGTCCCAGGTGGGCTGGCGCCTGCCCTCACAGTCTTGGGCCCACAGTGGGTGGCATCTACACGGTGCTGCAGACGAAGGCCAAGGTGACAGGGGATGAATGGGGTGACAACTACTACCTGGTGGGGCCGTACACCGAGCAGGGCGTGAGGACCCAGGTGGAGCTGCTCGAGCCCCCCACCCCGGCCCTGAAGAGGACCCTGGACTCCATGAACAGCAAGGGCTGCAAGGTGGGCCATAGTCCCTCCGAGAAGGGCGGTGGGGGGGGTTGGGGTTGGGTGATAAACCCCCCAGTCAGGGAGAGGGGTATGCAGGGATGAGAGAAGAGGCAGGGCTTAGACAGCGCCAAGGAGGGAGGGACGGGCCCAGGATGAGCCGGCACGTTCCCAGGCAGGTTGATAGACAGGTAGTTACAGGAACCCCGAGGGACTATGGGTACTGGACAGAGATGCATCCAAGAGGCTGAGATGTCAGACCCTCAGAGGGGGAGTGAGCGCAAGCGAGTCCTGGCTGGACAGCCAGAGGGCGCCGACATCAGACAGGTGTGCAGGAGCCTCGATCTTGGAGCCTGAAGTTCCAATTCTGCTGCTCTGCTTCCAGAGGGCATGAACTTGGCTAATGGCCCTGTCAGGGGCGTCTACCTCAGGGGCTGCTGGGAGGATGAGCCGACCCTCATTATAAAGTCCGGAGCCAAGTTGCTGGCACCACATTTGAGGGACTGTGAGCTTTTATCACCCTGGCTATTATTATCATTAGGGGAATCAGAGGTGGGGGGGTGCTGTGGGCTGCTAACGGCAAGGTCGTGAGTTCAAACCCACGAGCCGCCTCCAGGGCGGACAATGAAACTGCTCCCTGACAGATTTTACAGCTCCAGAACACTTATCTAGGGAGGCTAGCAGTTGGAACGGACTTCCCGGAAGTGGGTATTTTTATTGCTAGCAGTACCAGCAGCGGCATCGTTTCTGTAAACAGCTGAGTTGGCAAGCTGGGATGGACGGCGGACAGAAGCCAAGGCGTCCCAAGAAGTGATGGCAGCCCCCCGGGGCTAGAGTAAGCAGGTTGAGATGTTTGTTTTCAGAGACTGTCCAATCTTCAAGGAGCGGGAGAGGTAGACAGAGACACCCAGAGAGGGAGTCTGGAAGGACAGAGAGGTGACCTCGGGTTCAAGACCACGAGGGGAGAGGCCCAGAACCCCAGCAGGGGTGAGCACTGTGGGATGCACCCAGAAAGAACGTTCCAGGACCAGCCCTGAGATAGGAGAAGGAGACGCGGACAGACTGGAACAGAGTCAAGGAGAGCCAAATACAGCCTTGCCTCCCTCCATCCATCCCCATTCCCTGGTTTGGCATGGGGTTCGGTGTCCCTAAGGAACTCCAGGGCAGCCCCATCCCTCCTCCAGGGCAGCTGCTTTCCACGTGCTGGGGGCCTAAGAATAGACCCACCCCCAGCACCCGGACTCCACCCCCTCGGCTCAGGAAAAGAAGCGACAACAGCTGGAAGGGGGAGGGGCCCTGGGGTCAGGCTATCTGCCCCGCCCCCCACCCCCACCCCACCCCGAGGCAGAGAAAGGCCAGGTTCTTGGTGGCTGTGGCAGCAGGCCCAGAGCAAGGGCACCACAGTCTCAGGAGGGAAGCGGCTGGCCCCACACGTGTGGCAGGGCCTGAGATAAGACGACCAGGTTTAGAAACCCCGGCAGGAAGGCACAGGCCTGGGCCACTGAACAGGGCACGTCAGGCTCCTTATGCCGGCCGGAAATAGCAAAATGGGCCTGTGTGCAGGCAGAGAGCGGAGGCAGCAGGTGAATCACAGATGAGCAATGCGGCTGAGGGTCGGGGATGGGGGTGGGCAAAAGAAATGTGGCCGAGAGGACGGCAAAGGAGAAGAGACTAGTAGAACAGATGGTGGGTGGGAGGGGGGAATGGGCTAGACCTGTTTCTGAGCATTTCCGAGACTTTTTTTTTTTTAAATACTGTTATTGGGGCCTCTTACATTTCTTATCCCAATCCGTACATTCATCCAGTGTGCCAAGCACCTTTGCACATATGCCGCCATCATCATTTTCAAAGCATTCTCTTCCCACTTGAGCCCCTGATATCAGCTCCCCATTTCATCCCCCTCCCCCGCCCACCATCCCTCCCGAACCCTTGATAAGTTATAGATGATTATTTCCATATCTTATAGCATCCTCTGTCACCCCTCATCCACTTTTGCATTATTCATCCCCCCCTGGGAGGGGGTTATAGGTTGATCCTTGTGATTGATTCCCCCTTTCTCCCCTAATCTTCCTGGTATAACTCACTGTTGGCCCAGAGGGGTTTATCTATCCTGGATTCCCTGTGTTTCCGGCTCTTGTCTGTAGCAGTGTGCATGCTCTGGTCTAAACTGATTTGTAAGGAAGAATTGAGGTCATGATAGTAGGGGGAAGGAAGCACCAGAGAACCAGAGGAAAGTTATGTTTCATCGGTGCTATACTGCACCCTGACTGGCTCATCTCTTCCCTGTGACTCCTCTGTGAGGGGATGTCCAATTGTCTACAGATGGGCATTGGGT